TGCTTGCCGAACCTCATTTTCAGGTGAAGTTCCACTGCAGAAACCCTCATTGTACTCTATTGGGTCTCCATCGTCCGTCAAGGTCTGCTTTGCCAACTGCTTTAGTTGTCTATCAATGCCGATGCCCAAATCACCGAGAATATCTTCATTCACGATACATTCGTCTTCGTCCTCTTCGATCACTAGCACTTCGTACGGTTTAACTGGCTTCACAGGCCCAGCCGCAGTGTGCATCATGATCTGTAACAGCACACACTTCTTTGCCTGAATCGTGTGCTTACCCACTGTCTCGCATCCAATAGGTTCATCTAGCATGGTGGTTGTTACAAGTCCACCCAACTTCGTAAGCTTCATCAGGTTGCGAGCACTGATGATGCTTTTCTCGGCATCAGTATCCGCGCAATAGGGTCATGGACAATCTCCCTTCCAATATGATAGTTTTCTCTTGCTCCAAGAGACAGTCCTTGAAGCGCTTCAACCTTCACGCGTCAGCATTAGGTTTCGTGCCCTTATTGTTATCGCGACGCTCGTGCATTTTGTGTAAAATGTCCTTCTTCTCATCATCGGTAGCAGTCGGACACCGCGTAAGCCAGTGGCCACCTTTGCACTTAAGGCAACCACCTGTCGGAGGCTTGGAACTCTTTTGCTTATCCGTACTCTGCTTAACAAATGACACCTTTTCCTGGCTGTTTTCCGTCGGTTCTCTCCACTTTCTGGTGTTTTAATCGAGGTCGAGACGGGTCATTGTCGTTTGTAGAGTCCTTCCTCTTGCGATCGCTGTGGTCACTTGTCCGCGATCACTGGCGTCGCTGAAAATCGCGGTCCTGCTCAAGGGCTTTGGCAAGTATGAGCTTGAACAACTCTTTCTCACTATCTTTGGCTGTCCTGGCTTGGTACTTAACTGTGGTTGTCACTTTGTCACGCAGGCAGCGCGGTTGCAATGACTCCATCAGTAGTTTACATTTTAGACGAATGCCTTCGTTCACAGTACAAAATTCTTGCCAACCTTGCTCTTCTACAAACGCTCTGCTTCGCGCAAAGAATTGCATGATGCGTTCTTTAACATCACTCTCAGTCATGTCGATCGTGACGTCTTTTTTGAACAAAGCAGCGACGTCAGGAACAGAGTTGTTCTTGACGGTCGAGATGATCTAGTCGATCTTGGTCAGTACAAACTCATCACTGACCGTATCAACGTTGACTTCCCAGTCAAATTCACACCAGACCGCAAGAAGACTGTTGTCGAACGACGTTTTCACGCTCACAAGCACCATCCTGTCGGCGTCGTTATTGCATCGCATCGCCATCTCAGCCTCGTATTCACGTCGAAGCTTTCGCCATTGCACCAGGGAGGCGTGCGAAGT